CCCACTGCGGCTCCGTTGGGTAAGGCAGCTGTCCGTCAGGACAGGGATGGCCTCTAGTTCGCCCCGCCCTCCGTGTGGAACACGGCGAGACAGGCCTAGGTATCACAAGGAAAGGAGTGCGATCCGCCGTGCACTGCCGCAGTGTGCCTAGGTTGTTTTTCTCTTTTACCTGCCAGTACAGGAGCTACGAGAAGAGCAGCAACAACAGCGGAGACAACGGAAGGCGGCAGAGGAGAGCGAGAGCGACCTCGGGTTTATTTTGGGAAAAAATGGCGTCTGCGAAAACTCCGCCTTGTGGTTGTCCGCTAGCACCGTAGGGGGTGGGGCAGGCTTCTTGCGATGCTTTAAGGCGCGCGTGGCCCCCTGCCTCCGTTGCGCGGGGTTTTGGGGGCTGTGCATAGAGAACAGGTGTATTTTCTTCTTCCTTCCCACCTGCATCTCGGGTGATGGGAGATAGGCTGCCCTGCTGGTTCTGCCCCCTCGTTCGGCACCGCCCCTGCCCTGGATAAGTGTGGGGTGGCTCAGGCTTAGTCAGCCTGTTTAAGGAGTAGGAAGGTAGGTGCTCTGTTCTCAATATGACTTTGGTGGGGTGGGCCATCTCACTTTAGTGTCTATCGCTGTCTACTGCAGCTTGTCGGTGCCCGCAGGGATGCGGGGTGGCAGCTGGCATCACTACCCCTGGGGGGTCTTGGCACAGGGTAGCAGCGCCTAAACGGGTGACAGGCTGCCAAAGGACTGCGTGGCCGAGATGAGAAACTTAACGAAAATGGTGTGACTTGCTGGTCTTTACCTTACAAGAGGCCTACGGGATTAGACCCATTGATGAGTAAACAAATGGGTTATTTCCCTTAAGTAGCTGTACAATTTCTTCTAAGTGGTGGAGTTTTGGTGAGAATTTTAAGGCTTTTTTTTTTTTTTTTTCTTAACTGCAGGTTATAATGTTGGAAGGCAACCCTTGTGTTTCTTAACTATTCTTACAGTAATTTTTCTATGATGTAATTCTGTAGGGAGGTTGAGCTCCTTTGTCATCTCCCTTAAGGGAATAAACAGGTTCCCAATGCAGTTATACAACTTAAATGTGCGTAGTTAAGTTTAAGTTAAAACTAACAAGAAGCTAAAGCTTATTAACCACTGATGTTCTTGAGATAATGACCACCAAAACTTGGTACTATTGCAGCCAAACCCCAGATTGGATCTCTAGATAACATTGATATTTCAGGCTGTTGTCAGTTCCAAAGCTTTCATTGTGTAAAAATCGCCCCTGTGGTGCAAAAGCTTACAGATTCCAACTTATTTGTATTGTAAATGGGGCTTCTCACTTGTGTTCTTAACAGTGCTAATAAGATAGGAGAATAACTTCTTGGGTCAATTTTTAAAGTAGACTGGGTGTGAACAGCAGCACTGATAGGAATAAAACAATAAAAAAAAACAGTTGGAGTAGAACCTTTGTTCTTTTAGTTGTTATATGTTATCTTTCCATTCACAGCAAAAGGATTTCAGGTGTATACTTCCAATTAAATCAACAGGAAAAGATGAAGCCTCCAAGAAGGCTTGCTTGTAGAAGTCTCAGTACTTTCCTTATACTTTGTGATGAGTAAACTGTATAGGCTGTTTATGCTGGTTGAAGCTTACTTGTTTAATTAATGGAATTGCATGTTTATTTTTAGCATCAGTGGAAGTGTTTTTGACTGTAATTCCTTCTACATTGTCACACTTAGAATTGAGAGCAAATTTCTATACAATGCAAGTGAGAGACATCAACTTTAGACATTGTCAGAAGAATAAAAACATTTTTCTGGGTTTTGTTCTAGATAATTCACTTTTTTCTTTTAACTTAAAAGAAAATGTCTGCATCTAACGTTGCAGCAAGAGTGAAAACTTAGCTTTCATCTATGTGGCATGTTGAAGTTCATTTGTTAGGGCTGGAAGCCTGTATTAATTGTATCTGGGGGAAAAAAAAAATAGTGGTAGTAACTTAAGTCAAGCTAAGATTAACAGACAGATATTTGAGCAATGTCTTCTTACCAGATCTAAGAGATCTGGAATATCCCATTTTACCTGACTGCATTTTAGATGCTCCCAAGAGAGAGTTGTCTAGCTTCTGCTCCATACAGATTGATTCACTGGTTGATGTTAGCCAACTAGCATGTTCACAGTTGCAGAAGCTCAGAGGAAAAAATACTGTAAATGAAGCAGTAACAGCCAAAGCTTGAGCATCCCAAGAATCCTGGGAAGCAAAGTGTACTTAAATGCTGATGCTGCAACTAACTGATGGGATAGATCAAATTCGGGGCACGGAATATCAACCAGTCCCTGTTTCTCCATAGTAATCTTTCTCCTGGAACAAAAAACACTGTACAAGGGAATATTACATGTTACCTTGGAGTCCTTCTTAAATCGGAAAATGTGAAATTCTTGGTGAACTGGTTGAAGTGGAGGTTCTTACAGTGGAGTATACTCAGGAAAAAAAATCCTTGCTATATTAATTAGGGAAGCTGAGAATCCTGTTGGACAAACTGGTCATGAACAAATTGTTCCAAGGCCTGTAGATGAATTAGGATGAACTCTAGGCCCTTCAAATGAAGATCTTTTAGCCAGTCTTGATGAAAATAATGAATTTGCTTTAAATAATGTAAAGCCTTCAGAAAGCAGATACTGCAGCAGAAGTGACAATTTTAGTACAGCCTCAGGTTTGCTCACTACACATGATGAAAATGTTTTGTAACAAGAATTTGGAAATCCTTTGCCTCATTCAGATGAACAAATTTAATCTCCTGTAGAATGTTGGCGGCTTTTAAAATTACTTTCCTTTGGAAGATGACTTTCTTCTGGAAGAATAGATCCAAAGAGAGCTGGAAGAAGTGCTGTCAGTGGTCATGAAGACAAACATAGATTTGATTACTGAGAGGCTTCTACATACATCTAGAAGCTCATGTGATTCATCTTTAAATGGCACTTATGAAAAAGATTATATAAATGAGAGAAACCTGTAAAAGCTACTGTTATGGTTTGAGAAACCCATAACAATTTGTTGTTGTTTAGACAATCATTCTATCACCTGATGACCCCTCCCCACCTGGGAA